CTCCTAGTAGTAAGGCCACGAAGCGTCCTTGCTCCTAGCAGTATGGCTAGGAGCGCCTAGTAGCTTCTTGTTCCACTCTGAACCATCAAGAAAACCACCGCATCTGTCCGCAGTGTTTTTGTTTGGCCTCAGCGATCCGATCTGACGTCGTGCTGGTCGCCATGGCTCGCGTCGCTGCACTCTGCATCTTGGCCGCGGCCCCTGGGACGCACAACACTGGCCGTGGAAGACCGGTCGTGCTCACTGGCCGTGCAGACTGGGTCCTGTGGAAGAGATGACGTCCCCAAAGCATGGCAGATGTAGATGTCAGACATTCTGTGTCCAGAAGTTTTCTGGATGTGATTCCACGTTGAGTTGCACTCTCTTGTTGTGCAGACGCTTGGTGCTTGCAATCAAGGCCCTGTGCATGCTCCGAAACATCGCCTTTGTCTCAGCGCCTGCGCGCACCACCGCAGACCCCGCAGTGGCAGCTGGCGCAGCGGTGTTGGCCACCGTGCCAATGGGAGCAGATGCCTTCGTCTTCAAGGGCAGCTTGTTTTGCAGGAAGAGTTTTGCCGCGGGGTAGTGTTGTTCTGTTGGTGGAGCCTGTGGAGAGATAGAGAGAGAGAGAGGGAGATAGAGATAAACTTCGATTTTTGAATAAAAACCAACAAATACGGTATATATATATACACATACAGTTTCATGAGCTGTGAGAAGTTATCGACTTCAGAAGCGCGCCGAGGTTCCTGTCAGCGTTTTAGTTAGGTGTAAGCTGCAGGGGCGTTGGCCATCAAGGTGGGCCTTGTCCAGGTTCCCAAGTTCTCTTCGCTGCCCAGCTGCGGCAGTGAAGAGCGACATTGGCATGGGGGCACAAGATGGCGGAAGCACAAAGTGAGTGTAGTTTGACTGCTGGGCACCCCGATTCCAGAGACCTCTGCGTTGTATTCTGCTCCTATCCGGTAGCATGCCTTGACATTCGCTCGGTCGCACGCTTAGGCAAGGAGTACTTCGATGTCTTCTATGGCATCCTGGCTTAAAGTCCGTCGTCACACGGTTGGCAAGGCTAGGTTCAGTTGATTTTTGCAATCACAACCTTCGATCTCACACCTCATACCTCTGGAAAGCAGCCTGCAGTTGGGGGAGAGTTGTGTGATTCTCAACTGGTTTTCAAGAAGAAACTCGAAATTGAGCCTTTAGCCAGCCAGACTCACTCAACTTTAAAGCGCACTCTCCTCCCCCAAATGGCATCATATATTGTATCCACCCAAACCTTTGGTTTAGTCAGGGCTACTGGGTGCGAACCTTCGGGGTCGTTCAACGGGGGGTAGGGTAGGGGTCAGCTAACTTTCAAGCCAGACCCTCTGAGGCATTGAGCCTCTGGCCTGGGCCTTCTGCGGATTTGTCATTGTCTACTATGGTGCTGTGGTGAAGAACGCCGCGCAAAAGCGCCTCACACGCAGTAAAAGGCAAGGACGTCCAGTGCAACAACTCAACCAATTCTCTGATTGCAGGAGTTTGACCGTGCTTCATGATCCATGAAAGACGTACTCAGCGAAAATGGTGTAATCAATGTAGTTTGCCTGTCGTTGCAGTGTCTATTACTGAGCCAGTGGTGAAGAACGCCGTATTGAACCACAGTGGCGCAAGCAGCTAGAATGACGCGGGAAGGCCTTCAGTTTGATGGCCAAATCTAGATTTTGTTAGTCGGGCTCATGAAGTACCTCATAGCCCCCTCTCTCCCCCTTGAGAGCATGATGCTTTGAGGTGACTGCTCCACCTGAAAGGCAAGCAAGCGGAGAACATGAAAAGAGGGATCTCATGATGTCTCATTCCACAAAATCCTTGGCCTGATCCTGTTCATTTGCCTAATTCCCGTGCGAACCCAGGTACAACGTCCCCATCCAGAAGATTCCTCCCAAGGTCGGAACCTTCGTCGGCAAGGCGGGACCCTGGCTGATGCGGTGGGTGATCTCCAAGAAGAGCTGAGTGCCTTTCACACACGAACAACTCTTGACGGCAGTTTTTTAATGGTGGTGGCAGCGTTTTACCATTCAACCTCAGCACCCGCCGGTCGTTGGTGTCGTTCTCATGGTTGGTGTCTGTCAATTTGTTTGACTCCCGAGCAGGTGTGGCAAACCGAGTCTGCCATTCGCCCACACGACGGCATCCGAATGACTATCCGACCGTGCTGGGGTCGTCTCGGCCTGAAAAACCGGCTCAGTTGGCCAGGAGGTTGAGGTGGAGGTCTTGAACAGGCGTGGCATCCCGAAGCAGTGAGGCAGCCCCTTCTTTCGGAGCCTTTCTACGCCCCGCCCAAGCCCCGCCGTCGGCCCGGCCTGGCACCAGTCAGTGAAGCGCTCCAAAGGTAGCGAGCAAAAGAAGCGCTTAACATCGGGGTTGAGGTTCCTTCACGCTATGCCAGCACCATCCTTGCAACTGCGAAACATGTTTGCACCTGTTGACTACTTAAGTTAAGTGTTTAGAGAAGAGAGGACGGACATAGGAGATATGTAGACCAACACGTTCAGTTTGGCACTCCAGGCTCCCTATGTGGATCCTTTCCATTAGCTGTCGTTTCGCGCCTCTTCGAGAGTTTTTTGGTGTCCAGCCCAGCCATCCCCTGACCAACTGTGGCCTGTGCCCGCTTTTTGCCATGGCTCGTGCTGCTGCCTTGTGTATCTTGGCCGCTGCAGCTTGGTTCAAAAGAGAGGCTGAGGGCTTGTTGTTCCAGTGGTTCTTGCGGGGACAAATCAGTTTTCTGCTTGGATCCATGCACAATTTGGCACTCTAATTCCAACAATGGGGGCCGACAATTCCTCTTTCAAAAGTCGCTCCCTTTTCAACGCTTTAAGCATTGGTAAATTTTGAATAAATACACTATAATTGTAACGCCTGGAATCCTCCTCAGCTCAGGCCCTCTGCATGCTCCGAAATATCGCCTTTGTCCCAGCGCCTGCGCGCACCGCCGCAGACCCCGCAGTGGTAGCTGGCGCGGCGGTGTTGGCCACTGTGCCAATGGGAGCAGACGCCTTCGTCTTCAAGGGCCACCTGTCTGCAACAGGACGAGGAGGGCTTTTGGGTGAGCGGTCGGGCGGTTGGCCAATGGCATGTTTGTCGGCAATACAATACACAGACCCCCCAAAGACCCCCTGGAAAAAGGGCAATAGATCAAAACCTATCAGTTAGGGGTCTCACTATTACATTGCACACTCATCACAGGTAATTGGAATGCAGACCATTCCCTTAAGGTTTGCAAGAGACCTGCGACGACTACCCTGGACTTGGTGGCCCCATGGTCCTCAGTGGTCGATCATGCTCACCGGCCAATTGAGAAGGATCCAACTAGCAGCCCCTGCAAAAAGACCAAGTGGAAATGCATCTCGAGGTAAACCATGCCCACCGTTCTTCGTTTACAGCAATCCCGATGTGAAATATAATCATCATATCCTATCTGTACTGAGGCAAGGAGTACTTTGATGTCTTCTATGGCGTCTTGGCTGCCACGCCAAACAGTCTGCAGAATAAAGAGTTGTTTGTGTCTTTGTGATTGTATGGTCAATGTGACTGGGTACATTCCCACTTGCTGCTTTAGAAGCAGCAACTCACTGTTCCGCAATCCGCGCCCGTCCAAGGCATTGAGCCTTTGGCCTGGGCCTTCTGTGGCTTCGTCATCGTCTACTACGGAGCAGTGGTGAAGAACGCCGCACAGAAGCGCCGTGGACGCGGTTCGTGGCGATGCGGTTGGATTGCTTGGGTTTTGGTGAAAGGCAGGTAGCAGAACTCGACGCAAACCTTCTCAGCCCCATGTTTTTTCCTCTGCCCTCGCCGCTCGTCACCGACGAAAAACCATGCGGCGCCCAGGTACAATGTCCCCATCCAGAAGATCCCTCCCAAGGTTGGAGCCTTCGTTGGCAAGGCACGCCTGGGGGTTCTGTTCTGCTAGCGGACGAGCTGAGAAAGGGGGGCGGACGAGCTGAGTCGAGGAAAAAGTATACCTATTGTACCGTACCTATTAGCAAATTGGTTTTCCAGTTGGGCCTTTATCCATCAACCTGGTGTTTGCTGCGTCAATGGACAGTGTATGAGCCAATGGATGGACCATGATGGACCTTGGTTGGTGCGACTGGGAGTTGCTTTTCACAATGATTGAAAGGATTGTAGATTTTGTTTCTTGTATGAATGTAAGTTGTTTAGGGGCATTGCATTCTCCTCAATACATCACCACGGCCAGGAGGTTGAGGTGGAGGTCTTGAACAGGCGTGGCATCCC